AGTTAGAGAGTGGAAGGGAAATATGATAAAGGTCAAGGTAAAGGTCAAATAAAGGTTGCAGTGACCTGGTTTCGGTATGCGACACACCTTCTCCCCAAGATGTGTAAGTGTAAGTATAGCAAGTTTGGTAGCGCTAGGTCAATTAGGGGCCGAGTTAGAGAGTGGAAGGGAAATATGATAAAGGTCAAGGTAAAGGTCAAATAAAGGTTGCAGTGACCTGGTTTTGTTACGCGCTGCCCACCTCCCCAAGATGTGTAAGTATAGCAAGTTTGGTAGCGCTAGGTCAATTAGGGGCCGAGTTATAGAGTGGAAGGAAAATATGATCAAGGTCAAGGTCAAATAAAAGTTGCAGTGACCTTGTTTTGGTACGCGACACACATTCTCCCCAAGATGTGTATAAGTATACCAAGTTTGGTAGCGCTAGGTCAATTAGGGGCCGAGTTAGAGAGTGGAAGGGAAATATGATCAAGGTCAAGGTAAAGGTCAAATAAAGGTCGTAGTGACCTGGTTTTGGTAGTGCTAGGTCTATTAGGGGCCGAGTTAGAGAGTGGAAGGGAAATATGATCAAGGTCAAAGTAAAGATCAAATAAAGGTCGCAGTGACCTGGTTTTGGTACGTACGCTGCTCACCTTCTCCCCAAGATGTGTAAATATACCAAGTTTGGTAACGCTAGGTCAATTAGGGGTCGAGTTATAGAGCGGAAGGGAAATTCTCTGCGGCGGACCGAGCGGCAGCGGCGGCGGCTGGGGAGACATGAAACCATAGTATCCCCGCCGACTTCGTCGCGGGGGATACAATAATATTAACGACAGAAAATGCATGCTATCAGAACTATCCTAATTAAAGCTATGATAGATGTTAGGACCATAATAATGCAATGAACCTATAGCTATACCTCATGTAACGTGCATGGCTTGGTGTTTCTGAACACACCTTCCACATTCTATACTTGAACTAACTACCCCTTCCCTATCTCCTCTGCTCTAGCTCATTGATCTTCTTCTCTCCATCTCCCTCTCATCTTCTTCCTTAACAACTTTTTTCTCATTCATCTCCTTCCCTCCTCCACTCGTTTATCCGCTAACATCAGCACTGGTGCTTAGTATAATTTTAGCATAAGTATTGAGGTTGCCTCAGTATATAAGTGCCATGGTTGTATGGTACCACAATATAGGAGAATGGTATAGTCTAGTGGTTCTCAACCTTTTTTTAGTCATGGACCCAAAGAGAGTTTGAGAATATGGTGAAAGCTACGGACCCCTCCCCAGAAAAATGCACGTAAGCACATAAACACAAAATTTTGCATGCGCCTGGTTCACGGACCCCCTGAAGCCCATCCATGCACGCACCCCAAAGGGGTCCATGGACCATAGGTTACGAACCCCTGGCTATATAGTCAGATGCATGAGGCTGTTTTTCAAAGAACTTAGGAAAACCAAATCTTGTTAGGATCACATGCCACGAAACATAAATCCAATGTTTCCAGCTTATATCAAGGTTTAAATCAGTGGTTCTTAAAGGTAGTTTCCCTCGAACTTTCCACGTAAATTTTTGTAACAAACCACTCTAAAAACGTAAGTAAATAAGTACACTTTAACTGAACGTTAGCTTTGAAAATAAAACTGTAAAAATATGTATCAAGCCTATATTTGCTCATCGAAGAAACAACTCGAAAAACACTTTTCGCTGCAGTTCCGTAGTCGCCATATTGTTTATATTTGAGCAGCCATCATTTCAATCGAGTCAATGTAACCACTTTCAGATCTCATAACTTTTAATATAAATCATTTTATGAAATCCAACTTTGTAGTCTATACAGAGAGGCACCTCGACTGTTTATGTTATTAATTTCAGAATTTTTACCATAACCGTTTTCGAGATAGAACGTGCTAAAAACCCAACAAAACGTAATCCAAACTAACAGCGACCTGACAGGACTCTCGACTCACTCACTCGTTAACTCGCTCAGAATACTATAATCTATACTCCCAGCAACAAAAACGTTGCCCTTTCCCTATGAGCTAGCCATGTACGTGACCAAAAAAACTATTGGGTCATAATATACCAGTGTGTATAATTTGACGTAGCATGGTATAATTTTACATACATAACACGGCCAGTGCGCAGAGCGGAACAATCGTCGCATAGCGGCAAAAGTAAACGCTGGGAAACATTCGACCCAAAAGTTTCACTTTGTAGTCTAAAAGCTTCGAATGAACATATTCCCGAGCATTTTTTTTCACCTATCACACATATATAGGCAAGTACAAACGTGCAATGTTAAAATAATTCATTTTTGCCTGATTTTATGTTTGCCGCTTGAAAGTTCGAGGGAATCTACCTTTAACCTTTTTGGCCCCACGACCCCATCAGACATTCTTGGTCAGTATACCTTGACCCTCAAAACAAAAATTGAAAAAAAACAGCCCGTTTTATGCAAACATGTCTGCCAATACTCAGTCAATGGGATGGCTGAAATTGCTTCACAGCCATCAGGCAATGAAATTTTTTTTTAGGGCAATTGCTTTAATTGGGCAATCAAATTTATGAGTCACTTGCCTGACCGGGAAAGTGAGAAAATTTTTTTGTAGCACCCTGATAATTATATAGAATTTAAATGGATTTGTTTCATTTATGACCCCTTCATGACCCCCAGAAAAACCCCAAACGACCCCCATAGGGGTCACGACCCCCAGGTTAAGAACTGCTAGTTTAAATGATCGGTTGCCATAATGAGCATCAGACGATATGAACCAGTCATGAGGACAGAATATCAGATATGCAAATACGTAATGATAGTAAAACACACAAAGTATATTAAAAAAAAACCTGCTGATTATGGATATAGGAAAACTTATTATGGAGTTTATATATATAGTTTAATTAAAGTATATGTAAGTAAATAATGTATGTATGTAAATATGTAAGTAAATATGTAAATATGTAAGTAAATGAAAGTGATGTAACATTTGAGTACATGCATGCTCATTGAGTTGCACACAACAATTTTGAACTCGGGTCTCGGACAACATTTATTTTTGCAACCTACAAAACTTCATGTTTCTCTTGTATATGCAATAATAGTACATTAGTTTAATCTGCCATTTTAAGTGGTCACAACGATAAAATGCATCTTGAGAAATATTAAACAGTTTTAATATAGCTGCACTCTCTACACAGTATCTAATAATATTATAATAGGAAGCTAACAGCTATGCATGCATGACTGCACCGCATCACGTTTTTCTAGATGGATATCGTTACTTATTTAGCCTAATGTGTGTAGATAGGAAACATGTATCCAGAATGTAGCAGCAGATTAATTAAATGTTTTTATCAGAAAAGTATGCCACTGGATAACATTTTAAAATGTAAAATTATTTAAATTCGAGAGAAATTCAAAACATTAACTCTCGCATCAGTAAATATTTTATCTCAATTAAAAGATTTAATATCATATCCGTCATACTATTTATGCAGAAAGAGCACAAAATGTTAATTAAGTAACAAATTTACCTCCAGCTTTTGAGCAACACGGTGTGTTCGACTAACATTCTGTGTCCAGACACTGGCACAGAGACCATACTTGACACTGTTCGCTCTGATGATCACCTGAAAATGCAGCCAGGCAAACACATATGATTCACGCAAAAATTATACACACAACATCAACATGTCCTATAACCATCTATGTGCACAGTTACCCATTCATATGTGACTTTCTGGTAATTTGTTATATGGATGGATACAAAAACACAATGTGGATAAGCACTTATCAACTTATTAACCTTCGAACATCTGTTCAAGTATGATAAATGAATTTAAAAATGTGATATTGATGTTGCTGCAAATGTAAAAGTAAATATTCTGTTAATGGCTATATTGATCACTAGGTACGCATCGGGAATCTGAATATCTTGTGGTTGGTTTTATTTAAATAGTCGCACAAGCAAAATTTGAACGTTGTAATTGCTATGTTAAAGTTTTGTAACCAGTTTTATATTGCATAATCGACCAAATTGTCTGCAAATGGCTTCACAGCAGCTAAATGACTTGGTTGCTGGCGGCCTCTATCAAGGAACATGGTAAATGCTGATGTTCTTTTAGCTGGAAGCAATTCGCATTGTAAAATTGAGTATGTATAAATACCTCCTCCTCAGCTTCAAATGGTACAATGCAGGTAACAGGTCCAAATATCTCATCCTGCATGCATTTGTGTGTGTCGGCAATGTTAGTGATTACTGTTGGTCTCATGTAGTACCCTGTGAATTGAAAATGCTGGGTTATGCTACTAGATTTAGCTACTGAGAAATCTTAATTTTCTCAGATGATATGACATCTGTTTCATGAAAGTTGATGCAAGAAATACTCTGGATAGCTAAATTTTTCAGTTCCACCTGTGCCAAGTGAACGTTCTTTCTTTCATCTAAATGACTGCTACTTTTGCCCATGGCAACTGATATTTACTTCTAACCGCCTAATCTTATATGTTCGGATTAGAAAGTAATTAATGTGATGCCCCAGTTGATATTTAATTTAAATCATTACTTTAGACTTTATTGCCTTACAAACCTTACAAGAAAACCATTGCATAGAGTCGTTCATGACATTGCCGAAATGCACATGTAGGAATCTTTTAAACGCCAGCCGAGCTAATAACGTGTTGCTTGTATCAGCAGTCAGCCAATGGGTGCGTTTCCTAGCATATAGTTCATACTATATAGTTTGTTGGCATGTAGCTAGTATCTTGAGCTCGTATGCTTACAACCTTAAACTAGAGAAAACGTCCCATTATCAGCACTACGATTGGCTACTAAACACATTTGCTCAATTATGTCACAATTTAAAGCCATTTGATAATCTGCAATGCGCAAATCCAGCAGTACATATTCTTTCCATTCAGCACCCAAAGCCAGTGATACCATCACTTTAACCTATGATGGCCAGAGAACCATGTAAACAGAAAAGCAGAATAACCTATACATCTCAATACGTGACCAGCTATACACCATTAAATAGGTGGGCAAACAGATTGCTTTATTAGGACCATTAATTGGGCAGCAACTAGAGGAAACTAGAATATACTCAATTTCAAACTGCAACATATTTACCAAATTTATAGACGCTGTAGTACAGATGACCCTCGACATACACGTGGATTACACCCACGAATAAAAGCTTACATTGAAGGGAGATACAGCGAAGCGAGTTATGCTCGATAAGGATTGGTAGGAGAACGTTTATGAACACAATCTACCACCACCCGACTTATATTGTTAACATGTATCATACTTGTATGATGTATACATACGTACTCACTAAAGCGCACACATATATGTGACTACATAATGTACTCTAATTATAAATGTTTATTACTTCCATAGTATAATGAAGGTTATAGCGGTAGGGTTAAAGGTAACAGTAAATTAAGGTTAGTGATGGGATTATACCTTAATTTACCCAAAAGTTAACACCTTCACCAATGCAGAGAGTATCATGACAAACTTAAAAGATATACATGCACGCACACAATCAAGCATGTGCACACACATATATAATGCCTATACACATTCATGATAGTATGTATACTTGATTGTGTGTGTGTGCACTTCCTTACCTCATTAGTAAACAAAGCTGTAGCGAGTTCTAGTTTTCAGGACTTGCCTGATTACACTCCCAGTCCATCAAGAGATGAGGAAAACGTGAAACTATTTTATGTTCCCATGTTTAGAAACGTTTCCCATAAATAACTATCACCGTATAAACGAACTGACATTTAGAAGTAAGAACATCTGTACTGCATTTACTATTCATAATTACCCACAATTTTGGAAAATTAGTTAATGTTTCAGGCTTACCATTATCTCCTTCCTATCAGAACCTAAGATATGGTCACATAATCACGGGGTGCATATCAACATCTGGGAATGCTGAGAGAGTACACAGCAACTCTCTTGTACCTTTAAAGAGCAGAAGCTAGCCTAGTGAAAAGTAATTATGCTTGAAAGACAGAGTATAAACCAACTGTGCTTAAATGGAGAAAATATTCCCCCCCCCCCTCAACCAACCCCATACGATCCGCATCAGAAAGAAAAGAGAAGCCTACTGGATTCACAATCTAAACACTAACCAGCCACTGGACTGCAATGGATCTACGGGCATTCCGGGATGATAGAAGACAGTAACAGAGCAATCAGAGATAGCAAACCTCCGCCACAGCGTAACAGTCCCCCCATCTTGCTGGCGACCCCCAATATTATATAAGTTGGTGAAATTTCAAAATTTGAAAAAAAAAAAACGACCCAGGATTTTTTTTGATTATTTTGAATGTGTCCGAATCTTCCCCACCAAAAAAATTTTAATTACAAAAAAAAAAAATCCTGGATCCAGATCCCACAAAGATCGATGCGATTAGCTGTTGAGAAGAAGAACCAAGACAAACCCATCCAAAAAATGTCATCAAAATCGTCCGTAACTTTTTGAGATATCCTGTTGACAGCAAACAAACCAACAGATAAGAGCAATCAGAGATAGCAAACCTCCGCCACAGCCATCATGCTGGTAACCCAAGATAGTTTGATAAATTCTCAGAAATTTGGAGAAAAAAAGATCCAGGATTTTTTTTATGAATTTTGACATGCGTCCGAAGTCTCCCCACAAAAACAAATTAAAAATATTAAAAATTAAAAAATTCCTGGATCCAGAACTGGATCCGGATCACCACCAAATCTAATCGATTGGTTCTTGGCCCAAGACAAACCCGTCCAAAAAATTCCATCAAAATCCGTCCGTAACTTTTTGAGATATCCTGTTGACAGACAAACAAACAACAAACAACCAACAAACAAACCAAAAACCAACAACAAACTAACAAGGGACAGAAACATAACCTCCTTGGCGTAGGTAACAAACGGACAAGGCCCGAAAACGTAACCTCCTTGGCGGAGGTAATAACCCTCCACCAGCATGTATACACGCAGGCTAATTCTTAGCCACCCTCTAGGGTACGGGCGGCCAGGTTTACCTTTTACACTTTCGTGCTTATGGAGAATAGCTAGAATTATAGGTCTGTCGCGCATGCGAAAAGCCCATAAAGCACGGCGCTGCATCCCATGTGGTGAGGCATAAAGTAGTAGTACTAGAATCGTACATATATACAAAAATTACAAGTAAGCGACATCCTCATTGTATTAGTCGGCTTTGCCGGCCCTATAATGTCGCTATATGGGACCCGGTGCAATGTTAATTACTCTAAACTTTTTTCATGGAAATGTGTTCTTAGTTAGGTAGAGCTGATTTAGCTTGCGTTGCTCTACCTGTGCCATCGTTGAGCATTTCTTGGAATTCAAGATGGCCGCCGCCGTTCATCTTCGATTTTGTCAATTTACATTTGTGAATCTCGATGCCCGTAGAGTTGTCATGCATACCTCTTTTAGGGGCTTCTCGAGCAGGGCAGAGTCCATTCTGGAGTTACTTTTTATGATTATGGGGTCAAGGTCAATGTCAAAAGTGAAGGTTCAACGGTTCAAATAAGACACTTTAATGTAATCAGCTATTCATAGATAGTAGATAGCATATTTCAACGAGAAAATAGCAAACAGCTTAAGCAGTACACAATAAACAGTTAGTTGTCAACACATCTCTAGTGACTCAGCTCATCCTCATTACTCCTCAATCCGCATCACATCATTGTCATTGGTCGTCATACTACATAGCTCCTCTTCATTGGTGCTTCCTTCGGTGTCCATCTGATTTTTCCGTGAATTTGACTACGAACAGGCGACTCCCTTCTCGCACATTGCATAGTCTGTGCATAAAAGGCCATGCACGTTTTGCAGGCTGCCATGTTCCCGCGCTGCCGATGCCTTTGCTCTTCTGCGCCTGCAGCTGCAGCTCACTACATCCAAGCGAGCGCTTGGGAACGGCAACTGCGTGTGAAGATGGTCGTGTGATGGTGGAGCGCTTTGATACTCAAGCCAAAGTTGTAATCATGTAGAAGCTTCTTTCAAGGTGGTCACGTGTGGTTCGTCTGCAGCTGTGAGTTCGAGCACATGCAGCTGGGCAGGTTGACGTCAGCGTGGCAGTTTCTTCAGTTGTGGCGGCTTCTTATGGCTGCGGTAGAGGCCGAGTACAAGCGTGCATCATGTCATTGTCGTAGCGAACTCTTCTGTCCGTAGAGAAGGAAGAGAAAGCTGTCTGCTGTCGCTTTGAGTAGCAGGCTGCGCGGCCAAGCTCTCCAACAACCGTTGATCCAGACCTGGTATCATCAGATGCTCGTCAGGAGCCTTGAGCTGCTGACTGTTTTCCTTTTCCAAAGGGTACGACCCGTATCGCAGCCTGACAGCGCATTGACACCCAGGACGTTGGCTGCACTTTCTTGCCTAACCGTAAACAGTTTTGTTGAGTATTCAGGACATCAGCCATTTCCCTTTTCCATTTGACAGCTTAGCAATTGACCGCATGCCTTGAAATGTCCTAGTAACGACAGGAGGAAGAGGACGTCTGTGTCATCACTGAGGATGCGTGATTGTCTGGGCATCTTCTGCTGCCGCCTTCAGCATGTAGGCTGGGCAGAGAGTGATGTCTGCCTCAGCATGGTGACACAGTCCAGCTTGTACAAGACTGGATGTTGTGTGAAGGATAGTAGCCGCGAATCAGGATGTTTGTTGAGCAGACTCTTGTTCGTGGCGATTGTGAAGCATAGCTTTGTCGCATGGAAGGGTGGTTTGGAGTCAGCCGCACTTCCGTTGGCTCTTCTCTCTGTCTCAGTCTGGCTCATGGCTGCCGTTGTGGCGTACAGGAGCTTCTGTGGGTCACTACCTCTCGAAGCAGGACTATTTTCTTTGAGCCAAGGAGAAGTGCGCGGCGGAGCGAGCACCAAAAGCTTTTGCAGCAGATCTCCTGGGCGGTCCCAAGCAACTGCCACACAACGTGGTACAGCAGCTATCGCGGGCGCTCACCAACACCACGATCTGGCGCCAGGTGGAGTCTGACAGAAAACCAAGACACTTTGACGAGCGCACGGCCTCTGTTGCCCCATTCGCTCAAGACATCCATACACTCATCAATCAGGGATGTGGACTGGACTCAGTTCAAACTGGAAGAATGTTGGATAGATCCACGCTCCGCTCTGCCGCAAGACAAACAGCCGACTTAAACACGTGTCTCGATTGTCGTAGGATGCCTTCCCCTTGACAGTTGACTGCCTATCTTTGAGTGCCTGCCATTGATCTGACCATTTTCTTTATGGTTTTGTGAAGGTCATGCTTACGTGAAGCGGGTAACTGCCTGCTTTGCTTACTCCCGATAGTCCAGTGGCATCCTGAACTTCACTGTTCGGCGCGCACTTGCCATTGCAGGAAATTATAGAGACCTGGATGCTGCTCGTTGAGGGGTGAGGTGTACTTCTCGCAGCTCTGCTGCATCTTCCTCGCGATCGACTCATTCCGTCTTCTTCTTCCGCTCTCCTTCCTCCTTGTGGCCTTGTTCTCTCCTTCCATCTACTCGCATGTGCTTCTCTCATCCCAGCTTCACTGTCAAATTATACTTTCCATGGCGGATGTTGAGGTGGACCACACACACTGAAATTCGTTGACCACCAGCCACTTCTTCCGGGCGCTCGTCGTATTGACACCCCTTCATACCCTCGCAGCACCCTTCCCTCAGCTTGATATATATCTGTTCGGCGCAACTGATCTGCTGGCACTGCGGTCCCGCCATTAGATGCCGACAGACATGTGCGCCTTCCGTAGGTTCTCCGCGGCACGCTGGGAAGGAGGCTCCATCTGTCGCACACTACCAGCTTATGTAGCGGGCATAAGTTGTGGTGACCTGCTGCGAAGAATTACGGCAGCATTGCCTTGGACAGTGCTGTGGAGGAAAAAGTCACGCATTCCCGCTCTCCAGCGCAGGAACATGAGCGGCAGCAGTGTCGGGCTTGATGGACAGTCCACCCATAGCTTCCCGGTTAGGTTTTTTCTGGCTGTCTCCAGTAGTCACTCAGCTCTTGTATGTCTTTGGCACTATTTGAGTAGAAATCTGCAGCAACCACGGTGATCGGATGGAGACGGTATGCCGCGTTAAGCCTTTGGTTCAGGTCCTTTCCGGTGATGATGCTGGTCATGCCACGCAACGCTGCGCTCATGAGAACGTCCACGCCAGATGCCTTCATCAGTGTCGCTCATACAGCCAGGAAACTCATGAGAGTGTGCATCACTGCCCGGTGAAGTATAAGGTTGGTCCAGCGCTGAGGGTCCTTTCCATTGGCTAGCATGCAGTCTGATATAGTTGGAGATCAACAGAGGTGGGTGTACTGGCATCCCGAAAGTTTTGAGAGTCCTGCTCGAGATACAGGGGCGTAGTCAGAACGGTGTCTGGGTAGCGCCGGGTGGTGAATCGATCATCGGTCCAAACACCACCAGTGTCTTGGCTTATGGGCAGAGCCCCGCACACTGAGTCGGTCTTTGCTGAGCATTGAAGCCCGCCCACCCGACAGGCTTGTCACTCTCATGGACTTGCGACAGCCAGCGCTGCGTCTCGCTGGCTGACTGAAACTGACTGCAGTGGATTGAACGCTGTGACTCTTCTGCGGACGAGCTTTCATTGGAATCAGAGGTGGATTCAGCTTGGAAGGCCTGCTGTAGTGCTAGCAGCTGTATCCTGATTGGCTATGAGTCGCTGAGAGAATGACCTTCGTGTTTCTTGACTCGAGGGATCGTGGAGCTGCATCACACTAATGTTTCCTGTCCTCGATAATGGGGCCGCACGGATCCCGCGTGTGACTCATGACCATGGTGTGGGTGGTTTTCATCCCATTTGGTCTCATAATGTTCAAGGCGTAGTTGTCAGCCTATGTATACTATCTATGAACAGTGAATTTACATTAAAGTGTCTTATTTTGACCGTTGACCGTCATTTTGACCTTGACATTGACCCCATATCTAAAAAATAACTCCAGAAATGGACTCCCTCCCCTCGAAAACCCCTAAAAACAGGTATTGCATGACACTCTAGGACATCGAGATCACAAATTGTAAATTGACCAAAATCCAAGATCGACGGCGGCGGCCATCTTGAATTCCAAGAAATGCTCAACGTTGCACAGGTAGCAACCAAGCTAAATCAGCTCTCCTAACTATATAGAACACATTTCCATGAAAAAAATTTAGAGTAATTAACATTGCAGGGTCAACATTTTGGCAACTGGACTATATTGGACGACTGATATAACAAAGAGCAAATACATGCCAAGAAATTACAACATCCTCTCAAGGCAATTCCCACTGTTCATACTCGATCTTTTTTGTTACGTGTTAATAAGCTTGCATAAGGTGAGAATTTTTTATTTTGTTGCTTTACAGATCCGCCGACCCGAATTTTCAAGAAAAATGGAAAAAAATAAAAATTGAAAATCTGTATTTTTTTATTCCTGCCGACCTTTTCTCTAAGAAATATGAATAAAAAAAAATTTAATGTAAAAAAAAACATTTCATAAACAAACAGTTTATAATAAAAGTAAAAATAATTACAAGTTGAGTTTTGTTTTCATTTAGTTTTCTTAAAATACTTTAATATCATGTATAACAGTATCACTGTATTTTGACTTGTTTGATCTGACAAAACAACCTTTTTTTTAATTTTTTTTTTTACCCTACCGAGTCAACAACAACAACAAAAATTCTGTAAACCAACAAAATAAAAAATGGTGGCCTAAGTAACAACCACTGTAACGGAGAAGTAGGGGTACATCACCAAATCAATGGTGGGTGGGAGTGGTAGTACGCATCATCTATGTTCCCAGAAAAAAAGTTATAGCACACGTCCTGGTAAGTGATCTAGGGTACACATAGCAACCTATTATAAGGGCGATGGACAAAACATCCAAATAAGGCAGAAAGGGCTTTAATTGTCCCACCTCATCCCACCATGGTAGAGGGCAGAGTATTGAATTGAGCAGAGGGCTCAATTGTCTTAGTGGGGGGTATTCTACCATGGTGGGAGAGCAGGTATACAACACTTTCCCTGGTACTAGAGAAGGTATACACCTTCTGTCCAATAGGGTACTTATACGGCACCTCTCTTGAGTGTTGTATTGAATCCAATTATATTATATACGGGATAATATAATGACATATGATGCCAAAGGCATACGGGTACGTGTGCTGCGCAACCGTGTTTCCTCTTTTCTTCTGCATACGTTCCATTTTCGCACCTGCAAGAGTGGCATCACTGTAATATTTGGTCAGATAGACAGCAACACAGCACGCAGCCGCCAATTTACAATGTTTATTTTTTTTAAACGAGACACTGTCCCAAAGGTTAACAACCTGGCTGCCATAGTCATCACCCAATAGTTGTGGTAATTTGCCAGCTTTTGTTTCTTTGTCAATCATAGCCACCAAATAAATGAAAGTTGAAAGAGCTAATTAAAACTCACGAATATTTATTAATGATTCCAGTATTCATTAAATGAATAGTGATCAGTGGCGTAGTTAGGGGGCCAAAGGGGGCCATGGAAAGTAAAAAATAAAAATAAAAATAGTAATTGTGCTACTGAAATGAGAATGCTCGTAGTCAAAATGAAGGCTGTACATGTACTCAAAAGTGCCTCAAATACCATCTCCTGCGATCTACATTTTCAAAATTTTCTGGGGGAGGACCCCCATACCCCCCGCCTGCTTTCACCCCCCCTTGCAATCCTGGATCTGCGACTGAACAGTTACATATCTTGGGAGCAGTGAACAACAAACAAAAATTTCACCTTTTTGCATGGCGCCTAAAACAAAGGTTGCAGAGCTGAGAGGTGGGGGTGCGTAGGGTGTGGAGAGGGAGGCAAAGGAACCATTAAAATATTATGTCATCCACTATTTTGCGCAGTTCACTATTTCTGCCCCCCCTTCCCTGTTAAAAAATCCTGGCTATGCCACTGATAGTGATGATATTGTAGTGGCCCTAGGGGTAGCCGCTACACGAATTATTTGCGTTTTGAATGCACAATTGTTTTTCGGGATCAGATCCTGCTCCCGGTGGCTAAGCGGGAATGTTGCGTGGCAGCAGGTGGCAAAACAATGAGACAAATAAACACAACGCAAGGTACTTAAGTATACGGAACCGGTAGTTTTATTGCTCATATACACACTACAGTTATGCAGTATCGTATCTTGTGGTTTACCACAGGCGTTATGAGTGCTCTGACTGCGCGACGTAACTATAGTATTTTATGGCATAAGGCCAGTGAACGGTTACGTGCGAGAATATAGGTGCTTCGGCGTGAACGCGAACCCGGCGTATCTATTGCGATTGCCGGGAGTGAGAATAAGAAGTAACAGCACCTGCTGTCAGCTCTCAGCGTTCTCCTCCCTCCTCTCTTCGGTCTTCTCGCGCCGTTCCTCGTTCCTTCCTCTTTCTGCTGTTATCTCCCTTCTGTCTTCTGTCTTCTCTCTTCTTTCTTCTATCTTCTGGCTTCTGTCTTCTCGCTTCCTTCTTCTTTCTTCTGTCTTCTATCTTCTTTCTTTTTTTCTTCTGTCTTCTTTCTTCTTTCTTCAATCTTCCTTCTTCTTTCTTCTATCTTCCTTCTTCTTTCTTCTATCTTCTTTCTTCTTTCTTCTATCTTCTATCTTCCTTCCATCTTCTTTCTTCTACTTCTTCTACTTCTTCTTTCTTCTGTCTTCTCTCTTCCTTCTTCTTTCTTGTCTTCTCTCTTCCTTCTTCTTTCTTCTCTCTTCCTTCTTCTTTCTTTTGTCTTCTCTCTTCCTTCTTGTTTCTTCTGTCTTCTCTCTTCGTCTGCCTCCGTGCAGTGATCCTGTTTTTGGGGTGAGCTAGTCACTCCCTACTGTGCTCCTCTTTGCTATGTTAAAGTTTTGTAACCAGTTTTATATTGCATAATCGACCAAATTGTCTGCAAATGGCTTCACAGCAGCTAAATGACTTGGTTGCTGCGGCCTCTATTCAAGGAACATGGTAAAATGCTGATTTCTTTTAGCTGGAAAGCAATTCGCATTGTAAAATTGAGTATGTATAAATACCTCCTCCTCAGCTTCAAATGGTACAATGCAGGTAACAGGTCCAAATATCTCATCCTGCATGCATTGGTGTGTGTCGGCAATGTTAGTGATCACTGTTGGTCTCATGTAGTATCCCTGTGAATTGAAAATGCTGGGTTATGCTACTAGATTTAGCTACTGAGAAATCTTAATTTTCTCAGATGATATGACATCTGTTTCATGAAAGTTGATGCAAGAAATACTCTGGATAGCTAAATTTTTCAGTTTCCACCTGTGCCAAGTGAACGTTCTTTCTTTTCATCTAAATGACTGCTACTTTTGCCCATGTGCAACTGATATTTACTTCTAAACCGCCTAATCTTATATGTTCGGATTAGTAAAGTAATTAATGTGATGCCCCAGTTGATATTTAATTTAAATCATTACTTTAGGACTTTATTGCCTTACAAACCTTACAAGAAAACCATTGCATAGAGGTCGTTCATGACATTGCCGAAATGCACATGTAGGAATCTTTTAAACGCCACCGAGCTAATAACGTTTGCTTGTATCAGCAGTCAGCCAATGGGTGCGTTTCCTAGCATATAGTTCATACTATATAGTTGTTGCATGTAGCTAGTATCTTGAGCTCGTATGCTTACAACCTAAACTAGAGAAAACGTCCCATTATCAGCACTACGATTGGCTACTAAACACATTTGCTCAATTATGTCACAATTTAAAGCCATTTGATAATCTGCAATGGCAAATCCAGAGTACATATTCTTTCCATTCAGCACCCAAAGCAGTGATACCATCACTTTAACCTATGATGGCACAGAACCATGTAAAACAGAAAAGCAGAATATACCTATACATCTCAAATACGTGAAACTATACACCATTAAATAGGTGGGCAAACAGATTGCTTTATTAGGACCAATTAATTGGGCAGCAACTAGAGGAAATTAGAATATACTCAATTTCAAACTGCACATATTTACCAAATTTATAGACGCTGTAGTACAGATGACCCTCGACATACACGTGGATTACACCCCACGAATAAAAGCTTACATTGAAGGGAGATACAGCGAAGCATTATGCTCGATAAGGAATTGGGTAGAGAGACGTTATGAACACAAATCTACCACCACCCGACTTATATTGTTAACATGTATCATACTTGTATGATGTATACATACGTACTCACTAAAGCGCACACATATATGTGACTACATAATGTACTCTAATTATAAATGTTTATTACTTCCATAGTATAATGAAGGTTATAGGTTAGGGTTAAAGGTAACAGTAAATTAAGGTTAGTGATGGGATTATACCTTAATTTACCCAAAAGTTAACACCTTCACCAATGCAGAGAGTATCATGACAAACTTAAAAGATATACATGCACGCACACAATCAAGCATGTGCACACACATATATAATGCCTATACACATTCATGATAGTATATATATTGTGTGTGTGTGTGTGCACTTCCTTACCTCATTAGTAAACAAAGCTGTAAGCGAGTTCTAGTTTTCAGACTTGCCCTGATTACACTCCCAGTCCATCAAGAGATGAGGAAAACGTGAAACTATTTTATGTTCCCATGTTTAGAAACGTTTCCCATAATAAACTATCACCGTATAAACGAACTGACATTAGAAGTAAGAACCATCTGTACTGCCATTTACTATTCAATAATTACCCACAATTTTGGAAAATTAGTTAAGTTTCAGGCTTACCATTATCTCCTTCCTATCAGAACCTAAGATATGGTCACATAATCACGGGGTGCATATCAAACATCTGGGAATGCTGAGAGAGTACACAGCAACTCTCTTTGTACCTTTAAAGAGCAGAAGCTAGCCTAGTGGAAAAGTAATTATTGCTTGGAAAGACAGAGTATAAACCAACTGTGCTTAAATGGAGAAAATATTCCCCCCCCCTCAACCAACCCCATACGATCCGCATCAGAAAGAAAAGAGAAGCCTACTGGATTCACAATCTAAACACTAACCAGCCACATGGACTCAATGGACTACGGGCAGATTCCGGGATGGATAGAAGACAGTAACAAGAGCAATCAGAGATAGCAAACCTCCGCCACAGCGTAACAGTCCCCCCATCTTGCTGGCACACCCAATATTATATAAGTTGGTGAAATTTTCAAAAATTTGAAAAAAATAAAAACGACCCAGGATTTTTTTTGATTAATTTTGAATGTGTCCGAAGTCTTCCCCACCAAAAAAAATATTTTAATTACAAAAAAAAAAAATCCTGGATCCAGATCACCACTAAAGTCGAATCGATTAGCTGTTGAGAAGAAGAACCAAGACAAACCCATCCAAAAAATGTCATCAAAATCCGTCCGTAACTTTTTGAGATATCCTGTTGACAGACAAACAAACCAACAGATAAGAGCAATCAGAGATAGCAAACCTCCGCCACAGCATCATGCTGGTAACCCAAGATAGTTTGATAAATTCTCAGAAATTTGGAGAAAAAAAAGATCCCAGGATTTTTTTTTATGAATTTTGAATGCGTCCGAAGTCTTCCCCACAAAAACAAATTAAAAAATTAAAAATTAAAAAAATTCCTGGATCCAGAACTGGATCCGGATCACCACCAAAATCTAATCGATTGGTTCTTGGCCCAAGACAAACCCGTCCAAAAAATTCCATCAAAATCCGTCCGTAACTTTTTGAGATATCCTGTTGACAGACAAACAAACCAACAAACCAACCAACAAACAAACCAACAAACCAACAAACAAACTAACAAGGACGAAAACATAACCTCCTTGGCGTAGGTAACAAACGGACAAGGCCGAAAACGTAACCTCCTTGGCGGAGGTAATAACCCTCCCACCAGCATGGTATACACGCAGGCTAATTCTTAGCCCACCCTCTAGGGTAGCGGGCGGCCAGGTTTACCTTTTTACAACTTTCGTGCTTATGGAGAAAAGCTAGAATATATAGGTCCTGTCGCGATGCGAAAAGCCATAAAGCACGGCTGCATCCCATGGTGATGGAAAAGTACGTAGTATAGAATCTTACATATATACAAAAATTACAAGTAGCGACATCCTCATGTATTAGTCGGTTTGCCGGCCCTATATGTCCTATATGGGACCCTGCAATGTTAATTACTCTAAACTTTTTTCATGGAAATGTGTTCTATATAGTTAGGAGAGCTGATTTAGCTTGGTTGCTACCTGTGCATCGTTGAGCATTTCTTGGAATTCAAGATGGCCGCCGCCGTTCATCTTCGATTTTGGTCAATTTACAATTTTGTGATCTCGATGCCCTAGAGTGTCATGCAATACTCTTTTAGGGGTTTGCGAGAGCAGGGAGTCCATTTCTGGAGTTACTTTTTAGATATGGGGTCAAGGTCAATGTCAAAATGAAGGTCAACGGTCAAAATAAGACACTTTAATGTAAATTCACTATTCATAGATAGTAGATAGGCATATTTCAACGAGAAAATAGCAAACAGCCTTAAGCAGTACACAATAAACAGTAGTTGTCCC